GTGGCTTAAAGAAGAATTAAAATGCTATATTACATAGAACTGTATATTTAGAGTTAATGCACACAGTGTGCATTTATGAGCAGAATGTGACAAACCATTATTTTAATAACCAGAGACGATCTTGTGGGGGCATCTGCCTCCACAATGATGTCTGCGACTTTATGTTACACAATTGTTGCAGACACAAAGTCACTGCACAGAAAGAGAAACAGACACATATTAATCAACTGCTCGAGTTTTAAAGTGATGCAACACATACACAGAGTAAAAAGCTCCACTGATCTCTCACATGTGGCAAAAATTCTTCTCTTGTTGTTGTTGGTCGCTCAGACAGTGATGTCATTAAACTGTTCCAAGTCATTTTAACTGCAGTGTTTTTGAATACATGCAGTGTGAGCTCACCAGTGGCACACTGCTTTGTACATTGAATACAACCTTTAAAGTATAGTATGGTCATTTAATAACAAACAGACCACCATTATGATGACAGGGACCTCCAGGCGCTAAACCAGCAATCATCAATTGTCCATGGATGTTGTTTTTTGGACTAAATAATGTTATGATTTGGCCCTTTTTGGCCAAAGTCAAGCTTTTTGGAGCTGTCTGAAGTACATGCTATCAGAAAAAAAACACAAAAACAAAACAAATAAAACTTTAGACAGCTTTGGCAGACAGCTCACAACCTCAGGAAAGTTGGCTGAAATGATCAAGGTGAAATGAGATCTTTTCAAGTTGTGGAAAAGACATTTAGAAAAGAAGACACGTTTACATAGAAACCAATTGATCATTGATTGGGTTATCTCTGAAGAGACGCATTTCAAATTACAAATATTGTTTCCATTTAGTTTTTTAAATGAGTTGTTGCTGGATGTGACTGTGTCATTGCATTATTGCACTATCAATGTTCTGTAAGGAGTGACACACTATCCTACATTAAGTGTTGTGGAAGATTTTCCACTGATACTAGCAGATCTTCCAGATGACTCAAAATGTGCATAAAACACCAACTGTAGTGGAAAGTCACTGAGTGCACTAGTTAGATGCATTACTCTTATGGCTTTGCCAACATTATATTTTGGCCCAGGGCAAAAACAGCCATGGACTGATTGACACACACCAAGAAAGTGGCATATTTAGACACCATGGCTCTTCTCTGTCCTGCTTATACAGAGCCTTCGGTCCTTTTTTGTGTTTCTTGAGTAATAGTTTATTGTGTTTGTCTTTGCCAAGACACAAGTACAGTATTGGGTCTCTAATAGACACTTGGAAACACCTCCCCCTCTATTTAACTGCTGGATTTCCTCACTGAGAGGCCACCAGCAGTTCAGGTCAACAACAGCACATCAAGCAGGGATGTGTGCTGAGTAGTCTTCTCTTCACTCTGCTGACCCACAACCATACTCTTTATTAGATTTGCAGGTTTATTTATGGTTTATTTATATTTATTTTTGGCGTTCAGTCAAATTAACAAAGTCCAAACTGAATAATATGCAGTGATGCAACTTTATAGGGATATTGTCAAAGTTTGGCACACATACATACATTTTTGTGCACATCTTGAAATTGTACATATATTTATTCTCATAATTCTCACATTCCTGCTCTTATGATTGGCTTGTTTCTTACATTTCTTTGTTTTGCACACCACTGTTGCTTGTGAAGCTCACATGTGCTGTACCAGTGATGTGACGTGACAATAAAAGTGATTTGATTTGATTTGATGATACAACTATGGTGGGTTTCAACAGCAAAAATGATGAGACATACTACAGAGGTGAGGTATCTCAATTAGTATGTGGTGCAGTGAAAACAATCTAGACAAGTGACAGCCCTAGTACCCATCATGTGCACCTTCTACCGAGGCATGATTGAGAGCATCTTCACCAGCTGCATCTCTGTGGGGTTTGAAGACTCAACCACCTTGAGCCACAGAATATAGTAAATGGAGCAGGGAAGCTATCTGGGGCCTCAATCTTCTCCCTCCCTCTACAAAACTGTTAGTATTGCGGGTGATCCCACAAACCCCTCACATAGCTTTTTTAGTCTCGTGACCCCAGAGAAAAGTTCTGGGTGGTTCCTCCAGGTTTCATCAGCCAGGCTGTCGTGATAGTGAACTTCCTCCCTCACCTCTTCACCCACTCAGAGTTATCTGCTCTCAAAAAGATGCTCCATGTCTTAGCCTTTACTTTACATGAAGGACTTTCATTCTGATGTTTCCTCACTTGCAATAATGGATGGAGGCTTTTAATAATTCATTGATACTTTATATTTTTACATAAAGAAATGCAATAGTGTATATAGCTTTAAGAATTCTTGTAAGCCTCAAATGTATTTGTGCATAGAAAGCAATAATAGAATCTAGGCTTTAATGTATCTTGTGTAATTCATTTTAATATGCTGAGACCTCATAGGTAATTTCGAATCTGTATCTGTATGCACACTGTGGATCAGGAGGATATGACATTTCATTTCTGTGTATGTCCTGAACATAGAGCAGAACTCACAATTAAGTTGACTTTGACTTGAAGTATTTAACCTTCATACATGGATGCATTCATTCATATCAGGTCATGACACAATGCATGCCTATGTCTTACCATTATATTCAAAACTTTTGCAACAGTATTAGATGCTGAGAGACAATTGTTCCCCCAAGACCTACAAAATCCATGTAAAGATAATGGTATTGTCTGGCAGGATATTATGATTAGAGTCCTGTTGGGTTCTTTTTTGTTTTGAACTAGTATTTGTTTTTCTTCTTTTTTTACTTTTTACCTTTATTTTTGCACACCTGCCAGGTTTAGTTAATTTTAACTACCTGCTTAGAAATAAGAAAGCTATCTAAGTAGCACCATTCAAAAAGACAACCCTTTCAACTCAATCAATAATTCTGTAATCTGGTGGGTCCTGCAACTTAAGTTTGCCAGTTGGAAGAAATTCAAGATGTAATTTATGCATCACTTGTACAATCATACTTGCAACATTGACTGTGAACTTAACAGTTAAATTATAATTGTTCTATGGTT